ATTATTTGCGCTACTGAATACTCTTTTCTTTAACGTTCGCACTTTAAGAGCTGGAGCCCGCGCGTAGCAATCTGCTTATGTAAAATCCAGTTATCAAAAATACAAGTAGCGCGTCCAACTGCAAATTATGTGGATGAGCAGAATGACGACATTTATGTTATAATTTGTAAAAATATAAATAGCAATCTAAAGGATTTTTCCGATCCGACTCAAAATCTTTTTCAACAGTTCTTCCCTGAGCGCATGGTGTTCAAAGCGTAGACTAAGGAGAAATGCATATAAACATGTTTATAATCAAAAAAAAATGGATGGACCTCGAAGATATCTTTTCTAAGAATTGATACTATTATATCGTCGGAATTCACAAAATAAGCGACATACCCTTATACTATGAGCCAATAAGAATTAAAGTTTATGTAAATTTTTTGTTTTCAATACAAAACATGGGATCAACGTATTGTTAGCTTGCGCTAGAAAGATATCTCCTTTCCTCTCGTCAAAGAAAACGTATGGAGACAATTTTAAACAACATTAATTTTAGTAGACTTAACTAGAACATCTGGATTTGAGTAAACCATTTCATGCAAAAGCAAACATCTGCAAGTTGTAACAGTGTTGGAATTTAGCGTGCATATGATATAATTATACCTAGAAATTCGATCTACAATCAATTAGCAATCGTCACAAGACTATGCTTACAGTACATCACTGCAAATTACAAATGTTCGTCTCCACGTAGTAGCACTATTGTTTTCAGCCGTACAAGTGACGCCTATTGAGGCTATTAATGAACAAATTTAAGCTCTTTACGCATGTTCCCCCCAAAATATGAGCAGAACTGTCATTGATAACATTCTGATAAGTCACTTTCGAAATGTTTGTTATGTTTGTTTCACATATAATCTTCTACAGCAAAATTACACTGTAGCCCTCATATCTCTCAGAAACACCAGCGAAGTTTCAACAAGAGTTTGATGTGAGAGTCCTTTTTCGGAAAACAGTTTCAAATACTGATAAGAAGCTGAACACACTTCTACACTGCAATAACGTGTTTCATGAAGATTGGCTGAGAGCAATATAGGCGAAAAGAAAGAAGTAGAATTTGTAAGATTAGTTCCCACTGCTACGGTCGCTTTCTTCAGAAGAATTCAGAAGCTGATTAGCTCTCTCATTCGCGCCAAAAGTCACCATTTTAAAATTCTAAATTGAATATAGCAGGTTTTTTGCACAATTAAATAATATTAATGTGAGATATGCACGTCATTTCTCGTTCACAGTTCCATCAAAAATTGTTTTAGTCGCTTTTAGTACAGTAACATATCAATTGGCTAAGGGATAAATACTTGGCGGTTTAGAAAGACGCCTCCTTCACCTTTGCCAGACGAAGACTGCCAACCATCCACTAGTCACAGCGCTGATCCGAGGTAGACCTGTCAAGGTTCCATCAGATTTTCACTATTAACCAACTTTACTTAAAGCGATGAGATCGCCCCTCACAGCTCACTCAGCTCAGCATCGTCAGCATTTACACTGATTCGTGGAAGTTCTGAATCATCGTCAACTACACCACGAATACATTCTGACTCTTCAGTAGTATCTGATGAGACTGTACTAGAGATGGACACAAACAGGTAAGAGTTAGCGGAAATCTCGAGAAAGATGGAAAACCTTAGTTTTTGTGTTTTTAAGGTTATCTCAAATTGAGGATTCAGCTGACAGCACTCCCGAAAGCAGTACTTCGAGTATTGCCAACACCGATTTTAAGCGATATCTGAAAGAGGGCACAGATTGGCCATTAAGCGAGGCCAGCACTAGTTCAGCACCTCCAACTATCAATAGGTAAAACTTTTGATCGGAAAACCTCAAAAAGATAAAGATTAACCATTGCAGAGATACCTTCAATGCCAAACAAGCCCTACGAAATGCCTTGGAACGCAAAGTACTCTTAAAAGAGATAAGGAATAAAGATGCAAGAGATAACCGGCGACTGAGAACGAAAGATCGCGGTAGACTCTTGGTAAGCAAGCTTGAAACCAGCAAAACTCAAGAAAAGTAACACTTATTTTAGAGTGACATTCCCGCAGACGAAAGAAAGAACTCAGAGCGACGGCAAAGCTTAAATCATAAAGGGAAACTGAGAGCACGGCCCATGTCACGACGAGAAAGTCGGGAAGCCTACCGGATACGGCGGCGACATCCAAGTGGAGATGTTCGAAAATCCACAGATTAATAAATATAAGAAGATTCGTGTTTAGATCCAGTTTCCAAAACAATGGAGAAATTGCCACAAAAAAAGAGAGAAAGAGCCATTGAGATCCATTGAAATAAAGTCAAAACTAAATCAAACCGTAAAAGTATAATGTTAAAATGTTACACTCCACACTAGAGCCCTTTTAATCCTCCTTTTCCCCTATAATACCATTTTGGAATCTTATTTCGTAAATAAATGACAAAGTTACTTTTATCGGAAAGACTTCATGCAAATTTAACATAAATTAGGAGAAAATGACAAAATCTAGCCTCACTACTACATTCATCGGAAGTGCTGCTCTCGGTAAGCATCAATTTCTGTGAGCGTCAATGGACCTCCAATCATTTTTAACCTGCTGTCGTCTGTTCTCAACAAAGCTTCTGCCTTTTCTGAAAGAAAAAAGCCATAGGCGTTGCTAATGCAAGACTTTTGAGAATCCAACCTTTGATTGATTCGTGATTCTCTCCAAAAGCGTTATCGTATCTATAACCTAGCCACATGACTAGTGGTGCAATAGGGATAGCAAAATCCTAAAAAGA